CAAAACTCCCAACTCCTGAGATTACCCTGACAGAGCCTCACTACAGCGATGAAAAGTTCAAGTTCTGCGAAATTTTTTATACCTAAGTTTTCTGAAAAATTTTGAAAAAAAAACCGAAAAAACGTCATATCTCAAAAACTACGAGAATTTGAGCAGCCATATTCAGAGGCAAGATTCGCAACCCCCTGAGAGCACCCTCACAGATTCCAATAACAGGATTGAGACCTTCAAATTTTGGAATTTTTTAACATTTAAGTTTTTTTGAAAATTTCGGAGAAAATCATAAAAACGCCATATCTCGAAAACTACAATGATTTGATCAGTCATATTTGGCGGCAAAATTCGCAACTTCTGAGAGTACCCTGACAGAGTCTCCCTACAGAGATGGTAATTTCAAGTTTTGTGAAATTTTTTATATCTAATTTTTCTGAAAAATTTTGAAAAAATCCAAAAAAAACGTCATATCTCAAGAATACAAAGATTTGAGCAGCCATAATCAGATGCAAGATTCTCAACTCTTGAGAGTACCTTCACAATATCCAACAACAAGATTGAGATCTTCAACGTTTTTGAAACTTTTAAAATCTAAGTTTTTGAAAAGTTTAAACGTCATATCTCGAAAACTACGAGGATTTGGGAAGTGAGATTTGGAGGCAAGATTTGGGACCTCTGAGAAACCTCTGACAGTACCCAAGTACAGGGTGAGAATTGCAAAAATTGAGAAATTTAAAAAAATAAATAAATGTTCCAGAAATATTTGGAAAAATCTCGAAAATTGCCTATTTCGTAAGCTAAAAGGATTTGGTTATTCATATATGGAGGCCAGAATCGCAAAACCTGGGAAAACTCTGACAATATCCTACTATTGGGTTGCTAATTTCAAACTTGATGAAATAAACACTGAATTTAAAGTGAAAAATCAAAAAAAAAATCTTAACATGCAAAAATAATACGTTGCAAAAGCTTAAACATGGCGAGATAGTGAAGCCCGCATTTAAATATATAACAGATGGTCCCGAAAAACTACCAGTGGTCCCATATATAAGTCAGACAGAGAAGTTCTTGAATGTAGTATATTTTCCGGTGAATTGATGTTTATAATAATTTCATTTTTAAAAAGACACGTCATGTGTTAGCACATAACGAACACTAGTAGAAATGTGAAAATCAAGATATAATATCCAGAAGTGTAAGGAAAAAATTGATACACAGATTATCATCCATTTGAAAAGCTACACTTTTACTTTGTAGCGGTTTTCAAACTGAACTGAAATAGCAATTAGATATTAAAAACGTATTAAAACGTGGTCAAAAACAAAAACTCGATGACAATTCAGCGTCGCCTAAAATAGATATCTAAAAAAGAGTTAATTCAAAAGCGAGTCACTAATGGCAAACGAAATACAATCGTAGTTACTGCCAACCCCAGAGGTTTAGTTTTGGTAGGATCGACCCCGAAAACAAAGCCTTTCTTGCTCCCGTTTGATTTACTGAAATTTTTTTAGTTTTTAAAAAATCATTGTTCATGAAACAACCATTAAATGGACGAATGGCGAGCCAACAACCAAACTAGATCAATTAGGGTAAACCTTCTTTACACCCATGATACAGTGAATCATTCCGAACAACTTGGATCCGGTGACGGGAAGCCATACTTACAACGGGAAGCCATACTTTTAATTAAAAAGATATTAAAATATGGTAAAAAAATGGCTTGATAACAATTTAGCGTTGTGCAATAGAGTTATCTAAAAAGAATTTAATAAATAGGGACGATATTCAAAAAATTCAGCAAGTTATCTTATTTTTAGGGTTATTCAGATGCCTAATTTTGAAAGCAATGACAATTTTATGCAACCGTTATTCAAAAGCTTCTGTAGTTTCAAGACGTTTTGTTGGAAAAAACACTCAAATTGGCCGAATTATCCATTCGGTGCCAATTGGCGAGTCACTAATAGCAAACGAAATTACAACCGTAGTCGACTGCCAACCCCAGAGAGTTAAGTTTAGTTTAAATCGTCCCCGGAAACAATGATTTTCTTCAATTGTTCCCGTTCGGTCCACTTACCCTTTCCATATTTTTGAAAAATTTATTTTTCTTTCAAACGATCATTAAATGGACAAATGGCAAGCTAACTAGCAAATTACAACATTAGGCGTAAATCCTCTTTTTACATATGATACAGTGAATCATTCTGAACAATTTGGATCCGGTGACCAGAAGCCACTTACAACGTTGAAATCTGGAAAAACTGGAGAAAAAATTACGGTACTCTTGAAGTTTGGTCCCCAAAAACTACCAGTGGTCCCATAAACAATTTTCAAAGTTAGTACTAAGTTTTTCCAGTGAATTGATATGTAATAATTTCATTAAAAAAACCACTAGTGCTAAATAGTGTTGGCACATTCCGGATATTAGAAATTTCTTGCATGTGAAAATCATGATACTAGTATCCAGGGATTTCAAAAAAATAATCGTTAAAAAGATATTCATCGATTTTGTAGTCTAGATGTTTTCAGCAATTTTCACACTTGGAACTTTTATAATAGTTTGGTCATATTTGCATATTTTTAAAAAGGAAATGGTTTGGTTTGTTGTTTCTTGAAAAGTTAACATTGAATATGGTTCGTTACAACTTTACTGAGAGAAACCAAATAATTAGAGCAATTAAATTTGGGTCAACTTTTGAAGAATCGCGAGTTTTTTTGATGTCTAAAATCAGCAGTTCAAAAAATTTGGCAAAATCTTATTCTAACTGGCACTGTCGCCGACCGACCAAAACCACCGTGGCGAAAAATGACAAATTGTTCGAGATTTTTGCGCAGACCCATTTCTGACAGTAGTCGAAAACGGAACTTCTGGGACTATTAGCCAAAAAACAGTTGCCAAAACATTACAAAAATACGGTTTTCGTTGTAGACCACTAAAAAGTCAAATAGTCCAAAGAAATTGTTTAAATTACCGAAAACTTTTGCCACCACCAAAACTTCGCGCTGGAAAAGACAATGGAAAGAAGTTCTCTATGGAAGAATTATCCAGCAATCAAAAAAAAAGAATGCAATGCAAACTGATCGCTGGAAAAAAAAGAATTATGGTCTGTGCTGGCATGACATTAGCCAACAGACAATTTTTGAATTTCGAAGAAAATAGATGGCCTTAAAGCTCTTTGAACTTGTAGAACAATTTTTGATGGACACTTTTTCCAAGCTAACACAATTTGAGAAAACTGGATCGGCAGTTTGAACTTTTATCAAGCTGGGAAATCGGATACCTAAATTGCATTTTCGAAATTAAAGATTGATCAGGTTTTTCGTGAGCTTTTCACTTTTGCTGTTTGATAGGAGTTTGCCATCCTTTTAACAATGGACAAGCACTGAACTTTAAAACAAATCACCGCAAAAAAAAATCAAAATCGAGCGTGAACAAAATTCATGACTTTTTCTTGGAAAAAAAATCACCAAGACCTATATAAGCGTACTCACTAAGTTCATTGTTGTTTTCAACCAATTCAAATTTCAATGAAGGACATTTGAACAGCGATCGAAACATGAATAAAGTTTTGAGACCCCAAGTAGTGCCATTTATGCAACAGGACCCTGAAATTAAGTTTTTTCAACAAGATAATGCAACTCCACGTATTGCCGAACCAAGTGAAGAATATTTGCGAGGAAAAAGAATTAAAGTTCTTCCGTGGCCTCCTGGTTCACCGGATTTATCGAGCATGTTTGGACGAACATGAGCATGTTTTGGACGAAAATTAACAAAATCGACCATTTCAAAAAAAGCCGATGAACTGCAGACGATAATATGCTTGCAGACGTTCATTTGTGCCCCTTTTCCGCTATTAAAACTTAAAAACCCATTTCATGTAATTTGCTTTTAAAGTATTAAAATTTTGCTTGAGCTTAATTTTGTCCAGTAGGGTATTCTCATGTTATTCGGTTCAAAAACCAACTTTATCTTTAATCTACAATAAGTTTAATGTTTATTTGACTTTTCTCTTGGAGCAAAGGCAATTTTTTGGGACCATAATTCTAAACTAGGTTTGTAACGCGGCCATTCTAGACCAGTAGCCGCGCTTAATTTAGTCCGCTTGTATATCAAATGGTTCAAATGATTTTGTTTAACAATTTGTTAACCTGAAAATAATCTCAAATTGCAATCAATTTAACCGCTTACTAATCGCAGCGAATTACTTAATGATTTTTCACTGTGAATGATTGAATCGACAAGAATCAACACTTTTTTTGTTCTTTTTATAGAATACATCAGGTTAAAAACATCATGGTAACCAACCGATTACCAAATAAAGACTTACTTTAGTGTTTCATTTATTTAATTTATACACGACATTTGGACAAACAACCTCACATGGCAAAAACTCACAATTTGATCACCAGAATAATCTGCTGCTCTTGGCATTTTTTTTCTCGTTTTTTTTGTCTTATGAAGAATACTCAGGTCAAAAAAATCATAGTAACGAAAGTTAGCTTCAGGAGTCCCTTCATCGCATATTCTAGTCAAAAACCTGGATTTGGGTTATATACTGAGCACTCCCTTGACTCAAATATTAATACTGAGAGTGGCTAAGATCATTTGCTATGAAATTGCTGAAAAATTTGATTTCTGAGAAAACTTGCTCTGGAAATTTTTTTTATCAATTAATGAGCCACTTGTAATTCAGTCAGTGATCAAAATCTCCGGTAGCTGGTAGCACTCATGAAATCATTGGTATCAGGGGCGGATGTAGGATTTATCGCGGGGGGGGGGGGCGGATTTTCGAAAAAATTTGTCGAATGCGTCCCTTCGGGGCGCACTCTCCTTCAAAATTAGAATTTATTCGCGCCAAAGGCGCCTTTACAAAAACTAAGGGTAGGTCGGCCTAAAATGGATGTCAAAACATAATACCAAAGGGGGTTCTTTGGTTGGTTGGAGGGGGTCGAATCCTTGCTTCAAACTGGAGTTTATTGTTGCTGGCCTCAAAAAAACTTAATCATACCTTTGAACTGCCTCGGTATCTGTCCTAGAACCATCGGCATGACTGCCTACATCTCCATCGACAGTTTCCTCGGCTATAGTCTCTTCTGCAATAGATAGCCCTATAACGAACACTAAATTCAGACCATAAAAGGGAATAGAACATCAATACGGAAGAAATATATTACCAATTAAAAGGGCACCGACAACGAACAAGTAAAACTTCTTGTCAATCATAGCTGTACAGGGGTAACAAACAATTTTTTGAATATTCTGAAGCAAATTTCTGCTTCTGGCAAACTATCTGTAATACAATGATGAATTTCTTCGTGGTCAACTCTGATTGGTTTAGATTGACCTAACATGCTCAAATTTTTCAAAAAAGAGAAATATTGTTATCAAAAACGAGTCCCTTTTAAAACATCTGATAAATTTAACGATAAGAAATACACATTGCTCCTTCTGATATAAACTATAAGGACATGTTAGACTTCAGCAACAAACCAGGATAACCGGTATCCGGTAAAAGTAATGTCAATTGAACAAAAACTGCTAAGAAGTAGAAGGTAGAATGTTTTTGCCTTCTGATTTCTACATTTTGAAAGAGAAAAATCGAATTTTTTTTCAAGTATACCTACGGGTGAAGGCTTTTTTGCCCCCCATTGAGTAAAACCAAGTCATGAGTCAACAACAACTGACGGAATCTCAGCTACCAATTACTCACGAAGTGCTGATTGAAACGGAGACAAATTTCAGAAATGCGCTAACAGCAAACAAATCGACGACACAAACAAAACAAATCCAAATAATCAAAATCATCCCCCCATTCTCGAGAGAAATTGTAAGGTCAGCTGAAAATCTGGCGCAGGCATATCGAAGTTGTGCTTCCGATATACTTAAACAATTCCCCACAACAATGCAACAGAAGATGACAATCTCAAAAACAATAACCGTGACGAAAGATGACCGCAAACTTCATACACTGACAGTTATTGCTCCCCCCGAAGCAGAGCAATTCATAACTAGCATCAAAAGCGAAGGAATCATTCTACTTAACAAGACGGTATTTCCCATGGGATGCTTTCCAAGGTCTCATAGACCCAAGAACATTTACCCTAAACTAGCAAAAATCAAATTGTCGAACTTGCCTTATGTATGCAACGATATCGAAGCGAAATTAATTCTCCAATTGCCAGAAGACATAATTCATAGCCCCATATTCCAACGTGAGACCTGTATCGTAACTGAACCGGGTCAGTATGTTTACACAGGAAGAGCAATTTTAGAAGTTAAAATACAAAACGAAGAACAAGAGAAAAAGCTGAAGGACTGGTCTTATAAATCAAGAATGGATGGCTTCAAAATGTGGGAAGGTGTAGAAATCTCGTTTCACATACCTTCACTACATGAATGTCAAAAATGCAAGATGTCTGGACGCCAAGAAAAAGGTCATCACGATGATTGGTGTAACATAGGGAACCAAATAACCAAAAATCCAAATAATCACTACCCACAAAAACCAAGCTCCAATAATGCCAGCGACGAGAAAAACGATGACGAAACAACAAGCGATAAGTTTTGTAATGGTACCGAAACTGAAGAAGATAAGAATGTTGAAGCACCACCATCTGGAGTTTTGATTGATGAATCTAAAACAAACAGTGCAGCTACTCCAAGCGAAGAAAAACAAAAGGATGAGGTTCTCAACAATCAGGTCGTAGATTTTCATTCTTACTCTGCAAAAGAAAAAAAAGACAAATTAAATGTCGAAAATAACAAACGAAAATGTTCCTCTGACGGAAGAATGCTTACAAAAAGAGAGCGTGAAACTTCACCAACCTCTTGGTCAGTTTTAACACGGAAGAAAGGGCCAAAAATAAAATCTAAAAATAACGGAGAAGACTTGGCTGGAGGGAAGTTTTAGCAAAAAATTTCTATGTGCGAAAAACCAGATATTTTTTCCGTTAATATTTTTAGCATAGGAAATCCAGCTAAATTACACTCACTTATCAAAAAATGCCAAGTTTTAAAAAAATCGCCCAGTTTCATTTTGTGCATTCAGGAAGCAAAAATATCGAAACTTACAAATATACATTTGAGTTTACTGGATAAACATAATGTTTTATTCGATTTCATACCGGGCTAAAATAATTCTGGTGGTTTCTTAACGTTATGGTCGTCAAACTTGAGTCCTGCAAAAAGAATTGCTTCAAGTACAGGTTTTCAATTGTTAAAATTTGTCAAACTTGATTGGTTTGTTATCAACGTTTATGCGAACCCAATTTCATTCCGAGCAACTTTGAATTCCCTGAAATTAAGCATCAGATTTTTACCTAACAAATCGAAAATTATCATGATGGGTGACTTTAATGCGCTGAGTTATGATAATATTAACAGTTCTTCAATACTTAAGTTAAATGATGCACGTATCAAACGATTTACCCAACTCAAAGAAAAATTCTTGACTGTTTTGGTTTTGTTGATTTTGCACTCAAGAATGATTTTTGTGATTATACACATTATGACAAACAACATAAAACTTTTGCACGCATAGATTATGTCTTCTTAAAATTCGAAACAGAGTATGATTCTATGCAAAGCATTCAAATATCAATATCTGATCATTTGCTCTTACACGTTTTTGTTAAGCCATCTAACTTGTATCAGCGCGGCCCTAGTTACTGGAAATTAAATGAAGAAATTTTAAACAACAACGCCAGCTTAATTCGTGAAGACCTAAAAAACTTGAATCACAAGTAGTTACGAAAACTTTAAGCACGATTTTCGTGACCTTCTGAGGTTTATTCAAGAGAACAAAAAGCGTGTAGATCAAAAAGAACTTAATTTATTGAAGTATCACGAAAATGTTCTCAGAGATTGCATTCACAGCGGAAAAGGTCCCAACCCTAATTTGATTGAAAAATATCATTTGGTGCTGGAACATCTTCAAAAAGTTTCCAAGGAAAAAGATTTTTCAGATTATCGAAAAATTCAGAAAACTCTCAGCTATACATTCGAGGGTGTTCCCAAATTTTGTAGTCAATGGACATCAAAGAACACAATCAACTCAATCAAGAGAATTCAAGTGGATCAGAACGTTTATCATACGGATGAAGATATTCTTAATCAATTTCGAAAGTTTTTTTCAAATATTTTTTCAAATAGTTCTCTAACAGACTCCGATCAACTACTAAAGACATTTTTATCAAAAAATAAACTCGAAAAAAATGAGAATGATGGCTATAATTACTTTACAGAAGATGAAATTCACTTGGCTATAAACAAATTGAATTTGAAAAGCTCGCCTGGACCAGACGGCCTTACTTCTAAGCTATACAAGACTTTCACGGATGAGTTTTGTTCAATTTTAGCTAATGTTTTTAATCATTTTGTTCATGGTGGAAAACTTCCAAACAGTTTTTATTTAGCAATAATCAAACTGATCCCGAAATCTGAAAATGCCATAGCAGTACAAGATTTTCGCCCCATCAGCCTTATGAATACTGACGCGAAAATCTTTGCCCATGTAGTCTGTAACCGAATTAAAAATGACCTTTGCAAAGTTGTAAAAAACCATCAGCACGCGTATTTGCTTGGAAGACAAATGCATACAGCAATACGAAAATTGAAAAAAGCGATTACTCCAGAACGATTGGCTACCCGAGGTTCATGTGCTGTAAAATTAGACTTTTCTAAAGCATTTGACAGAGTTGACAGATCACTTCTCATCAAAATTTTGAAAGGGTTAAACCTTGATGAGCTTTCAGTTAGAGCTATTGAAACTTTGTATTTAGACTCAAAAGCAGTAATTGAGATAAATGGTTTTTTATCAGCCAGCTTCAAAATTCATCGCGGTGTGAGACAAGGTTGCCCTCTTTCCGCATTTTTATTCATAGTTTTTATCGAACCCCTTCTTCAAGCAATTGAATCTACAGAAGCAATTGAAGGTTTCGGGATATTGTGCCCCAAACTAGTTTCATATGCAGACGACATAACTTGCCTTATCAAAATCCGATGTATTGACAGGTTGTTTCGCTTAATCGATACATTTTGCAAACAAACTCAAATGATGATTAACATAAGTAAAAGCGAAGTGCTTTCCATACCTGATTTATCACCCTATAAAACAGTCAAGGAAACAAAAATACTTGGTGTCTTGTTTTACACTTCCCAAAAAATTGAAAATATTGAATTATTGTTGAGTTCACAAATTCAAAAACATCGAGGGTTAATTTCACTAAGTAAATCTTTAAGGGCCAAATCATTAACACTGTCAGTTTATGTTCTCCCTAAGTTTTTTCATTTGGCTCGTCATACTACAGTTAACTTGGATACTGTTAGTAAATGCCAAGAATTATTAAATACAGAATTGAAAAAAACAAGCAGACTCGACATAAGAAAAGAAGTTTTATATAACCCCATCTTAGATGGTGGGATAGGCTTACCATGCCTACAACTTAAACTTTTTAGTATGAAAGTTATCGATTTCTTTGCTTCTGATATGTCAGATCAAAATAGTTTATTACCAACAGATTCAATTTTACCGAACGAAATCAAAAATTTGTTGAGAAATACGAACATCTCTATTGAAATAAGTTCAAGTGATTTTGCAATATTTTCAAACAGTACCAATAGCCGTTTAATTATAACAATACAGACAAAATCGCGAGATGTTTATTATTTCTGCTTACAAAACTGTAGTTTTCATCGAGCTGTGATTTTCCGCTTGGGTTTTGCAGCAAACCGTTACCTCTGTTCAGAAGAAAAATTGATTAAATTTACAGGCAAAGTTTGGAAAAATTCAATGCTTGATGTATGGGAAAAAAACTTTCTTAAAAAATTTGCATACGCTGTTTTTAAAGATCGAGAAAAGCGGTGGTTTTTATTTCTCGAGAATGCCCCCGAATGTTTCTATTGTAATTTAGAATGCGAAACATTCGAACACCTAATTTTCAGTTGTCCCTCGCTACAACCTTCAAGAAACATATTACAGATTAACAATTGGCGTGACGTTTTTGTATCAACCAACATTGCAAGACTTAAGTATGTTGTTTCGGTTATTCGTGGTGCATATTCAAAATCATCGACGTCATGGAAAATCAACTTGCAAACATTTGTGTCATGGGAAGTATGGAAGTGAGAAATACAAATTGCTCCTTCTGATCTAAACTATAAGGAAATGTAAGACTTCAGCAACAAACCAGGATACCCGGTATCCGGTAAAAGTAATGTCAATTGAACAAATATGATGTTATATTTACAATTTGAAAAAAAAAAAAAAAAAAAAAAAAGATATATCAAGCGTACCAGGATACTCTGTA